AAGAAAGATCACGATGAGAAAAAACTTGCGACTTGAAGAACTGAATATGAAGACTCAACCAAGAGAACGAAGGAAATATAACATCATTTGTAGCAAAGCATCCACGGTTTCAACTTCACGACGAAGAGAATCGTGCACACAAGCAGCATCCATCTCTAGATTGGATTTCAACTTCACGATGAAGGATATCCAACTCAAAAAAGGAGTGTTTGTCAACAAACTTCTCGTTTCAGAGTCAATTTCAACTTCACGGCGAAGGATATTGGCCTCAGAACAGCGCAACTTACATTGGATTTCAACTTCACGACGAAGGATATCCAATTCTCATGCTCAACTTCATGAGGAATGGGCCATATACGATTCCAACTTCACAACGAAGGGTATCGTACCCTAACAGATTGACTCAACTTCATGACGAAGGAGTCATCTGTGACACAGTAGCACCGAAGTCTTCAAGTCAAGTTTCACCTTCACGACGAAGTGTCTTGAGCCAAAAGACGATCTAGGAGCTACTAGTCAAAGCTTTGAGTTCGATTTGAAATTCACAATGAAGGATTTCGTGCTCAGAATTTTCCAGTTTCGACTCAACCTCACGACGATGGAGACATTTTGTGATTTAAATTTACAAACCAGTCTTAATATCGGATTTCAACTCTACGACAGAGGACATTCGATATAGATGAAATTTGTGTCTTTTAATCTTTGCTCTATTTTCGTTACATGATAATGAGCAAAGAGGGGCAGCTGACGACACTTAATTTCGTCTTCCTAAATTATAGCATATATATATATAATATTATTATATGATATTATAAATCATAATATATATATATATATATATATATATATATATGGTTATTTAAAATTTAACATATTTGTGTACAGGTCCAAGACCAACAAATCAGGGACAAGGCCCAACAATCAAAACACGCTACCCACGTGACCCAAGTAGCCCAGATCGGTCTCCAAGAACCCGAGTAGGTTAGGGTTTCTAGAACCCTAACCCCATATCCCATCTCAACACCGTATGAAGGCAACAAAGCTAAAACCTCTGTCAGTTCCCTCGCCCCAACAACCCACATCCATGCCGGTTTCCTCAGAACAGTCTAACACACCAACAAACACGAAGCATTAGTGTTTTACTAGGAATCAAACATAAAAAATAAGGGCATTCGAACCCTATAAATACCTATGTACTCAACACTACTCACGGACAAGTTTGTACACGAATATTACACGAAATACATACTGAAATTCGAGAGAAATATAAAGGGAAATCATAAAAAAAACCCAGAGTAATCGAAGTGTTTTTTTGCTATATTTCGAAAATAGTATATGTAAAAATATATTACCTTTGTCGTTCTTGCATGCATGTGGATCTTGATTCGTTGTTTGAACACGCATAAGCCCCAAAAAGCGTTCGACCGATGACCCGAGGAGGGGATTTTCGAGAGAATCTATCCGAGATCTACCCTCCCGAGGCTAGTTTTTTAAAAAACCAACATGATTTTTGAATAGTGGGAGATAAGTTTTGAAAAACGAGATTTCTTTTTGTGAGCCACCACCGATGAGTGGTGGCCGGCGTTGATCAAGGGCGGCCGGCGAGGCGGTGACCACCGTGTGCTGGGTTTGGTGCGACGGCGTGTTCTTCGTTCTTGAAGAACATGCTTAGATATTTCAGAGAAAATGGGGTTGGGTTTTTTTTATCCAAGTGAGGTAAGTGAAAAATTATGAAATGTGTTTCTGGTTTTTGAGTTATATAGTGGACCCATCGGACCGACCATGACCCAACCTATTTGCCCTTGGATCCGTGCATTTTGTAAAAGAAAGGGGGCAATCCCGTTTTTCGTCCCTCTATGTTTTTACAAGCTGATTTTAGTCCCCAATCAAGTTTACATCTTGGTTTTGTTTCAAAATTTGGCCACTCAATTTGCTTGATTTCAATTTAACCTTTTTGTGATTACTTTTATTATTTTTATTCCATTTGTATAACTATTATTGTTATTATTATTCTTTATTTCTACTTATACATATATATTTAATTATATTTATTATTTTATTTTATATATTTATTTATTTTGGTTTTCTATTTATTTATATTATATTACTATTTTTTATTGTTATTATCATTATTATTGTTATTATTATTTTTTCTCTATTTTACTTATTTTTATATTTTTTTTATTTATTTTTTTCCTCTCTTTTATTTGTATTCTTTATTTTTATCCTTTTATACACCTTATATTATGTTTTATCTATTTATTAATTGGTATTTTCCCTTTATTTTTATTTGGTTGTTTGCCATGTATATATTATTATTATTCATTTTTATTTATTTTATTTATTTTTATCTTTTATTTTTATTTTCTGTATTTCTTTTTGTTATTATTTATTTTCTTTATTTCATTCGTTTTTACTTTATTTATTATTCATTTTTACTTTTTTTATATCTAACACATCTCTTGACTTTTTAAGGGTATATTTTCAATCAATCAGAGGTAAGTTTTGGATCGTTATTTTACTTTTTAATTTAAACTTTCAATTTTCTTAATTAAAGACAACTGAAAATTACATAGTACCGAAAGGGCAGTTCAAGGGTGCTGATCCTTCCTTGACTGTAACCGACTCCCGAATCCGACACATCTTTGGTAAGATGCAGATCAGGTAAGAAATAAAGTATCTGATCAACCCATTTGTTTTAAATAAATGATCGGTGGTGACTACTAATCTATTTTCCTAAGTTGAAACCTCATTCCGGACCCAACCGAAAGACAGTTCCGACAATACCAACACTCGTTGACCTTCATTTTTCCTTTAAAAGTGAGATATAATTATTTTTTTAGCTCATATACAAATAAATATTTAGCTTTTATATTCCAAAATATAATAATACGTGGACGGTATAATTTTCTAAATATAAAATTGTAACTTATTGTTATTATAATTTTAAAAAAATAAAATATTTTTTAATATTTTTATGTATATTTTATAATTTATATTTGTGATTTAAAGATGGTTTTCTAATAATATTATTTCTAATATTTTTCTATTAATATGAGATAAGTATAAGATAATATCTAATTAAATATGACTCTCAATCGTTTGACATTAAACGCTCACACACCTAATATTTTTTGTGCTCAAATTTAAAATATCAAAGAATAACAATAATTCATTTACTGTTGATATCGTTTAATTTATGTTATTTCTAATATTTAAATAGTCATTGCAAGATTTTTCACACTTTAAAAGAGAGAGATAAATTTAGTCAAACCTATTGAAAAAGATGAGTTAGAACGAGAAAAAATTGAGACGTGTACTAAACACTATCCCTTTAAGATATTTTGCGAAATTTGTATCTTCTAGGATTTTTAACACACACTTGTACACAAACTGAAAACGATTGAGAAAAAAGAAGAAATGGAAAATCTTTTGTGATGATCAGAAGGCAGAGTGCAAATGTATAGTACCAATGCATACTTAAAAATGATAAATATATATTTTTTTTAAAATTAACACAATAATAATTATTCAAAAATATTTCAAAATATACGAAGATGAAAATTTATTTTGAAATCTATGATATTTATTGTAGTGTTTTGAAACTCGTCGCGTGAACATGACGAATTTTAATAAAATATATATTTTTTAATAAAACTTGGTATGTCCTTATGACAAATTTCAATAAATAAATATATTTTATTAGAATTTGTTATGCTCACGTAACGACTTCTAAAACACTTAATAAATTTCATAGATCTCAAAATGAAGATTTTCTATTTCGCTAATTAATTATTCTGAGTGGTTTATTTGTTTGATTTTGCCGCTTGTTTGACAAATTAAAATAAATTAATATAAATAAATTAGTTATAAAAATAAAAATGGACTAGGCTTTTTTATTACGCACAGGGAAATCAACTGATTTGAACTTGGAGCCTAGATCTCGTGCGCACGAGACTTTCTAATTTTCTTTTACGAACCCAACAAATATTATATTTAAATTAAATCCAAAGGATTTACACGAGGGATTATTTTTAAATATTTATAACAATCTCTCACGTATTTCAAAAGAATTCAGTTAAGTATTCTAATATAATGTATTAATTATGGCATCTTTTTAGATATAGTTTATTGAATAATTGGTGAAATAAGTTTCTATTGACATTTTCGTTAACCATATGTATGAATCGAACGAGATCTCAGTAATAAATGAACTCTTGTTATTCCTTAAACTTTTGAGTTCGAATATCAGGAATGTCAAAAGTGTAAACATTTAATGTCAAATAACGAAAAATTATCTTTAAAAATATATTATCTTGTACTTACACCATATTAATAACCTTATCCGTGCCATTTTAGCACTACTTACAATTAAGGAAGAGACAGAAAATAATTTTGTTGAGCTCACCAACAAATCAATCAATGACTTGCTCTTACTTATTTATATGAACCTTATTCATGAAATCACCAACCGCAAAGGTTGGATTATCATTATAATTGATTTATTATATTAGCATAAATCACATTCCTCATGATAATTCATTTATTAATTTTCACACCAGTATTTTCACAAGAGGAAATGTCAAATTCATAATCAATTGATATCACTTCATCTTTTTATGTTGTCTTATTCTTTCCCTATGTGATTTTTACCATTAAAAATGTAAATAAAAATATTATATATTTCAAATTTTGTCTAAACAAATATAATTATAATGCTAAATCAGAATTTATTAGTATAGAAATCCAGTACAAATTTATAAAAATGTAATATATATATATATATATATATTTCATTTTGTATTTTTTGAGATTGTTAGATGAAAAATGAATAATTAAAATTAAAATGTTTAACTAGAAATAACTCTTTTTTCTTTATTATCCACTGTCAACCTCAGTCATTCATTTCTCAAATTTCAAAGCAGATACATTTTTTTAGTTAGATGGATTAATGAGATGTAGTAACACAAAAGAAGAGCAAACCAGTATGCAATCAAGGGTAAGAAACTAAGCATATTAACACATCAAATCCAGCCCTAGATAGTTGTCCCTGTTTTGTGGCAAAAGCTGTTCAGTGACTGCTTTCCCATTAGAAGGGTCAGTGAAGAACGTGAATCAAGAAACAATTAAAAGGCAAATCAAACATCAATGGAAGATTAAAAAAAGGAAAAAGATGAAGCATATGTTGTTGTAGTAGGCAGCACAAACTTAGTGAAGGTTTTCGATGTTTTTGCTCAGATCCTCCAGTTTCTTCATCCTCAGCCTCTCGCTTTCACTCACCAGCTAAACACCAGAAAACGTATACATATATATCTCACTCAGAAAATGTAAATGCTGCAGTAAATGAATGCTCCTAATGAATATATATATATATATATATATATATATACATGTGTGTGTGTGTATTATTTACCTCCATTAATTTGCTAACCAGTTGTGCTTTCTCCTTGTTCTTGTCGTTGAAGGCTTCAAGGGATTCTTTGTACTCTCTTTCCTGAGATGATTATATTAAATTTGTTATTGTATCAGTCCAATTTGACTTATATACAATTAGGTATTTATATACCCTTAGGGATGTATAGAGGGAGTTGACAGAATAATCGCTATTAAAATTTTAAATTATCATTTAATTTAAATATATTTTTATTTGTAGTGATATTTGTTTTTATCACTAAAATTATAAATTCATTGTTAACATAAAATCATGCATTAGTCTTGTTATGTATGGCTCATAAAAAGTCTCGTTGTGGGGTTACGAATTATGTGGGTTGGGGGTGTGGGGGCGCAGCCCCCGCGGTACGGTACAGGGTTGATTTTGTAATTTATGTACCAGGGTTTTCTATTATAAATAGAGATGTAACCTAGACCTAAAATATCATTGAATAAAACTTCTAGCGCCGCCTAGGCACCGAGGACGTAAGCACATTGCCGAACCTCGTAAAATTCTCGTGTTCTTTCGTTTTCTTTACCCGTTTTCGTCAACAATTGGTATCAGATGTCAGGAGCAAAATTCGAAGTCGCGAAATTCGATGGTCAGGGTAACTTCGGATTATGGCAAACGAGGGTGAAAGATCTATTGGCGCAGCAAGGGATCTTGAAGGCTTTGCGACCTACAAAGCCGGCGTCGATGGATGAGGAAGATTGGGAAGAATTGCAGCAGCGAGCGGCAGGAACCATACGATTATGCTTGGCGGACGAGGTCATGTATCACGTCATGCATCTATCGTCTCCAGACGAAATTTGGAGGAAGTTGGAAAGTCAGTTTATGTCCAAATCCTTAACGACAAAACTGTATCTGAAGCAGCGGCTGTATGGGCTGAAGATGCAGGACGATCACGATTTGGCGCAACACGTGAATGTCTTCAATCAAATCGTTTCTGATCTGGCTCGGCTTGATGTGAAAATTGAGGATGAAGACAGAGCGATGATTCTGTTGTGTTCGTTGCCTTCCTCTTACGAACACATGGTGACTACTCTTACATATGGGAAAGAGACTATCAACGTTGAGGAGATTACTGCAGCCTTGTTGGCTCACAACCAGCGGAAGCAGAATGCAGGGGAAAGCTCTCAAGCCGATAGCTTATATGTCAAGGGTAATCGAGATCGTGGACGGAAGCCAGAGAAGGCAGGGTCCGGGAAGCGGAATTCCAGATCCAAATCCAGGGATAAGAAGACGATTCACTGTTACAAGTGCAAGGAGGCGGGACATATGAAGCGAGACTGTCCGAAGTTGAAAAAGCAGACCGATGAGAAGCGTGATGGCTCATCCAAGTCTGTGAACGTGGTCGAGGATGATACTTCTGATTGCAGTGAGGGTGATATGCTTTCTATTTCAACGACACAATTGACGGATGCTTGGATTCTTGATTCTGGATGTTCTTATCACATCACGCCAAATAGGGAATGGTTTTCGACATACAGGCCGGTTAATTCTGGTTCGGTTTATTTGGGTGATGATCGATGTTGCAATATTGTTGGTATTGGTGATGTCAGAATTAAGATGCACGATGGCTCCGTTCGGACGTTGAGTGGTGTTCGACATATCCCAGACTTGAAGAAGAATTTGATTTCCTTGGGCACTTTGCACAAGAATGGTTTTATCCCTAAGGCTGACGAGGATAGGGAAACCATTCGGATTGTTAAAGGAGCATTGACTGTGATGAAAGGCAAGATGACTGCAGGGAATATCTACAGATTGTTAGGGAGTACCGTTGCAGGTGGAGTTCACTCTGTTGAGTCCTGTGATGATACGACAAAATTGTGGCATATGCGCCTTGCTCATCTTAGTGAACGTGGTATGGCAGAATTACACAAGAGAAACTTGTTGCATGGTGTCAAAAGCTGTAAGCTCGATTTTTGCAAGTATTGTGTTCTTGGTAAACAGACTAAAGTCCGTTTCAAGACTGCGAAGCACACAACTCAAGGGATTCTTGATTATGTGCATTCTGATGTATGGGGGCCTTCCACGACATCGTCTTTGGGTGGATCTAGGTACTATGTTACTTTTATTGATGATTTTTCACGGAAAGTTTGGGTGTATTTTTTGAAACAGAAATCTGAAGTTTTTGAGAAGTTCAAGCTGTGGAAAGCTGAGGTAGAAAACCAAACAGGACGAAAAATCAAGTGTTTGCGGTCTGATAATGGTACGGAGTACACAGATTCACAGTTCCTACAATTCTGTAAGGAGCATGGGATTCAGAGGCATTTTACAGTGCGCAAGACACCACAACAGAATGGTGTTGCGGAACGAATGAACAGGTCGTTGAATGAAAGAGCCAGATGTTTGCGGTTGAATGCGGGGCTTCCCAAACACTTCTGGGCTGAGGCTGTTAACATGGCGTGTTACCTTATCAACAGATCGCCAAGGGCATCGCTGGCTGGGAAAGTTGCAGAAGAGGTATGGACTGGTCATGATGTTAGTTTTGATAACTTACGGATTTTTGGTTGTCCTGCTTATGTGCATGTACCTGCTGATGAGAGATCCAAACTTGATGCAAAATCGAAGGAGTGCATTTTTCTGGGTTACAAGAAAGGTGTCAAAGGATTCAAGTTCTGGGATCCAGTTGCGAAGAAAGTTGTGATTAGTAGAGATGTCGTTTTTGATGAACAGTCTATGTTGCAGCAGAAGCAAGACACGACAGTGGTAGATTTCGAGCAGTTTCCAGTTGAGAAACCAGAAACTTCTCAACCGACTTCTGGTGGTTCCACTACGGATGATTTGCAGGATTATAGTCTCGCCAGAGACAGGGTGAGACGGACGAATATAAAGCCTCCGAACAGATTGGGTTTTGAAGACTTGGTATCTTTTGCACTTACTGTTAGCAGTGATGATCCAGTTACTTTTCATGATGCCGTTACTAGTCAGGAAAACGACAAGTGGATGGCAGCCATGGTTGAGGAGATGGAGTCTTTGAATCACAATCGCACATGGGAGTTAGTTCCCCTTCCTGAGGGTAAGAAGCCGATTGGTTGCAAATGGGTGTATAAGAAGAAACCAGCAGTAACAGAAAAAGAGGGGGAGAAGTTCAAGGCTCGTTTGGTAGCGAAGGGTTTTTCACAGCAGAAAAGAGTTGATTATGATGAAATCTTTTCTCCTGTGGTCAGGCACACTTCAATCCGAGCAGTACTTGCATTGGTGGCTAGTTGGGATTTGCATTTAGAGCAGATGGATGTTAAAACTGCTTTTTTGCATGGTGATTTAGAGGAGCAGATCTACATGCGGCAACCTGAAGGTTTCACTCAACCTGGAAACGAGCATTTAGTTTGCAGATTGAAGAAATCTTTGTACGGGTTAAAACAGTCTCCGAGACAGTGGTATAAACGGTTTGACTCCTATATGATCAAGATTGGCTACAACCGATGTGAGTATGATTGTTGTGTCTATGTTAAGAGCCTTGATGATGGTTCTTTTATTTTTCTATTACTGTATGTTGATGATATGTTGATTGCTGCGAAGAACATGGATGATGTTATCGGTTTGAAAACTTTATTGAGTCAGGAATTTGATATGAAAGATTTAGGTGCTGCAAAGAAAATTCTTGGAATGGAAATTTGCAGGGACAGAGACTCAAGGAAACTGCGGCTATCTCAACGGGGTTATGTTGAGAAAATGCTAGAAAGGTTTGCGATGAGCAGCGCGAAACCAGTTAGCACTCCATTGGCGAATCACTTTAAGCTCTCATCAGAACAGTGCCCTAAGACAGATAAGGAAGCTGAAAATATGGCAAAGGTTCCGTATTCTAATGCTGTTGGCTGCTTGATGTATGCGATGGTATGTACTCGTCCTGATTTAGCTCATGCTGTTAGTCAAGTTTGTAAGTACATGTCTAAACCTGGTAAGCAACATTGGGATGCAGTCAAGTGGATCTTTCGGTACTTAAAGGGTACTGTGGGACATGGAATTATTTTTGGGAGTCAGCGGGATAATCCTTTGGTTGTAGGATATGTGGATTCAGATTATGCAGGTGACTTGGATAATAGAAGATCTACGACAGGGTATGTGTTTACTCTTGGTGGAGGGCCTATTTGCTGGAAGTCTACTGTTCAATCTGTCGTGGCACTATCTACAACTGAAGCTGAATACATGGCAGCGGCTGAAGCTGCAAAAGAAGCTTTATGGCTTACTGGTTTAGTGAAGGAGTTGGGTGTTCAACAAGGTGGAGTTCAGTTGCTTTGTGATAATCAAAGTGCTATTCACTTGGCTAAGAATCAGGTGTATCGTGCTAGAACTAAACATATTGATGTAAGGTTCCACAAGATCAGAGAGTTGGTTGCATCTGGAGAGGTTTTGTTTCAGAAGGTACATACTGATGAGAATGCCGCTGATATGTTCACCAAGCCAGTTACGACAGACAAGTTCAAGCATTGCTTGGACTTGTTGAATGTTTCGAGTTGTTAAAGAAGCAAGGTAACCCAACCCACATTGAAGTTTCCAAGGGGCAGGATATTCGCCAAGGTGGAGATTTGTTATGTATGGCTCATAAAAAGTCTCGTTGTGGGGTTACGAATTATGTGGGTTGGGGGTGTGGGGGCGCAGCCCCCGCGGTACGGTACAGGGTTGATTTTGTAATTTTTGTACCAGGGTTTTCTATTATAAATAGAGATGTAACCTAGACCTAAAATATCATTGAATAAAACTTCTAGCGCCGCCTAGGCACCGAGGACGTAAGCACATTGCCGAACCTCGTAAAATTCTCGTGTTCTTTCGTTTTCTTTACCCGTTTTCGTCAACAAGTCTCTGTTAATACAATCCTATTATGCTTGCACATTGAGATAATCACTTAATTAGTCATCCAACCAATAACATTAATTAAGGATGAGTATTTCGATTCAAGTAAAGTTGAATAAAAATATTTTAAGTTAGTCGAGTTGACAAGTCATATTTTATAACTCGAAACTTTATTTGAAATTTTTCGATTCGAGTCAATTTGTTCTAGTTTTTATTTAAATTTAATTGTAAATATTTACAATATTTAAATGGATTGTTGAGTTACT